GGGGAGGGGGGAGAAGATTATAGGGGGGGAGAAGATTACAGGGAGGGAGGGGGAGTGGAGAAGGTTACAGGGAGGGGGAGAAGAAGAGAAGATTACAGGGGAGAAGAAGAGGAGAACACGGGGAGGGGGGAATAAGAGGAGAACACGGGGGGTGGGAGATGAGAACGTAGGGGAGGGAGAGACCACTAAAGGAGGGAGGGGGCGGTGGAGAGACCACTAGGGGAGGGGTGTGAGGAGAGACCGCTAAGGGAGGGGGGTGGAGGATAGACCACTAGGGGAGGGTGGGGGGAGAGGAGAGACCACTAATGTAAAGTCGGGGAGAAAAGGAGACCACTAAGGGAGGTGGGGGGGGGAGAGAAGAGATCTCTAAGGAATGGAAGTGAGAGCTCTATAGGACAGGGGGACAGGGAGCTCTTTCACACCACGCGCACACACACACACAATGCATCCCTATACACACAGAAACACAACATGCTTCCCTTACACACAGAGAAACACACAATGCAACCCTTAGACATAAAGACAATACATCCTTTGCACACACACAGAAACACACAATGCATCCCTTACACACATATGCAAACACACACTGCTTCTCTTACACACACACAGAAACACAATGCATCTCTTACACACACTCAACGCACCCCTTACAGACAAACACACAATACATCCCGTATACACAAACACTCACTGCTTTCTATCCCTTACACACAAACACACTGCATCACCTACACAAACTGGTATCCCTATACACTACATTCCATAAGCACACACATTAGATCCTTTACAGTAACACATAACACATCCCCTACACACTCTACTCCCTGTGAGCGGACTCATGTAGGTGGACTTATGGGTGGGCTTTATGGGCATACTCACCGTCAGGCCCTGGGGCCCAGACCTTGAGCTATGTAAGAGGCCCCACAAAATTGAGCTGCTTCCCGTTCTCCCAGAACATTGAATTTTGTGACCACAGTTACAAACAGCCTCCAGAGATCCTGTTCTACACCAGACCAGTGGAGCCAGACTGCAGCCACAGCCCATCATCATCCTCATCTGATTGTAAGTAGGCAATCTAGTATATTATTAGTGACACTAATCTCTAATTTACCTCACAATAAATGGACACTATAGTCCCCAGAACCACTGCAGCTTAATAAAGTTGTTCTGGTTTCTATAGTTTGTCCCTGCAGGCTTTTTAATGTAAACACACACACTGTGTGCAGCACTGGCACTAGTTCATATGGCAGATCATATGGGTGGGGCATTGCGAGGCCCCGGCGGGGGGGGGCGGCAAATCTTTCTTTTGCCTAGGGCGGCAAAAATCCTTGCACCGGCCCTGAAAGCGCCATCGCATTAATATACCTGTCGGATGCCCTTGATATATCAAATCTCGCAAAGTCTAAGTACATCCAATTTACTTTATTGCTTGTTTATTCTGACTTATTTGCCTCTGTGCAGGCAACCATATGTTATTTTTACCAATTCGTAAAATGTCTGCCTACGCTTTTTTGCGACTCTAATAAACATATTCAATAAAAATACAAATAATAATAATTCCTTATCACATGGCCTACCAAATAAATTTTAATAGGAATATGTTCCAACATCTGTCTCACCATGCTTTTTCTGAGTCTGCGTTATGAAAATAACCAGATGGGGGCTAGCAAGTAGGACCGGTGGGCAATTGCCCCCTGGACTTCTAGCATCCAGGGGTAATGGAAGATTCTCCTGCAGGCTGCAGATTAAAACCATTGAGGTTGCTTTGGGATGTCTGTTGGTGCAAGGCTAGTGTAATAGGCAAGACTGTTGCAAGGCATTTATTCACATGGTACTGTATGGGTTTGTTCATGGGCTGGGAGCTTGACCTTTAGGGCTGTGGTTCACTGGGATATTTCTTGGGAGACTGCAGTATTTGTGGATGATCAGGCTGGCAGACTATGATTAGTATGTATGATGTCACAGGAGGTGTTAACAAGTAACCGTGCCTGTTGCTTGTCTAGCTTTGTGTGACTGTCTGTACCTGTCTCTGCCTGGGTGTACCTGTCTGTCTGTATCTGTCTCTGTCTGTGTAAACCTGTCTAAGTCTGTGTGTACAAGTCTATGTCTGTCTGTTCCTGTGTATCTGTAAGTACGTGTGTGTGTGTACCTGTCTGTGTCTATCTGTGCCCGTATGCCAATATGTGCCTGGGCATGTCTGTGTGTCAGTGCCTGTCTGTATATGTGAAGCTAAAGAAGGAACCACACTCAAATCCACTTAACACTGGGCACTAAAGCAGAACCAGCAAATACAGACTACATGTAACAGAAAAGAGGAGAAATCTCCCGCCACTCATTGAATTAAAGTCACAGGCAGGTTTATTGAATCAAAAAGGCAAAGCAACGTTTGATCCTGCTGAGTGGTCTTTAACAAGTTTCAGTTGACTTCTGGTGCAGGTCGAAATGTTGCTCTGCCTTTTTTATCCCAAAAAACTGCCTGTGGCTTTAATTCTATAAGTGCCTGGAGATTTTTCCTGTTTTCCATTATTTGTCTATATATGTGTCTGTACCTGTATCTGCTCATTCATATCTGTGTGTGTCTGACTGTCTCTGTCTATGTGGGTTTATGTGTATATGTGTCAGTAAGTAACGGTGTGTGTGTCAGTAAGTAACTATAAGTGTGTCAAGAGGCATGATAAGCTGTTAAATTGAGAAGGGGCAGGGTGGAGACTTAGAAAGGGGGTCACCAAATATTTTGGGGGCTCAAGCCCTCTCTGTTTTTTGACCTTAGCAACACCCCTGCATATACTAAAAAAGGCCATTTATTTGTACTTGTCTCACAGGCCAAGAGTTGCCAGCCCACCACATATACAACGCTTTATGTGCAACAGTCATTTTAGAATGCAAAGGGAAATACTGGAGGTTGGAAGCAAGGGTACAAACAAAGGGTGTCCCTGTGGAGCAAAACTAATTGTTAAAAAAAAGTATAGTAGGGGCGGAGCCTAACAGCCGAGGCAAACGGACGCACAACTCTGGAGCTCCGGGACGAAATCGGAGAAAACAAGCCTAAACACAGTCAATATTACCCCCACTAACCATGGACCAAACGCAGGAACCCCTCAAGTTCCATGGGACGCAAAAACAAAAAATAGATGCCGGACAAACCAGCCCCAGGGCTGACAGTAGAGGAAATGTGGCGGCAAGCATGAGGCCTGAGTGAATCCAATATAGCGGCGCTTCCCTTTGAGGCTGCTCGGATTTTTGGGATGACTACTCAGAGGAAGCCGATGAGGAATACCTCCGAGCCCCAGACCCGAAGCCGAGGGCAAAACCTAGCAAAACAAAGAATAACCCTGATGCCGACCTGGTAACCACCGGGTACTAAAAACCCTAGTAGCGGATCTACAGAAAAACATCCTTGCGGATGTCACCGCATTAAGGGGAGAACTGCAGGGCCTAACGGGAAGACGCCTCCCAAGAACACCAGCGTACTATCGCCACACTGCAGACGGACACTGCTGCTCGAACGGCGCTTAGATGCCCAGGAGGACACGAGAAGGAGATACAACATAAAGGTCAGGGGGATCCTGGAGGGGCTGCCGGAGGCAGAGCTACCGCACACGATCAAGCTTTTGCTGGCTACCATACTGCTCCCAGGTCAAACTAAATCTATTACACCCCACAGATCCCCATAGATCCCGAAACCCGCTAGGGCCCCAGACACGGCCACAAGGGACACTATACTTACCTTCAGAAATGGGTCAGACAAAACAACGGTCCTTACCGTCCTCTGGGGAAAAACCCCCATACAATTCGAGAACGCGAAGTTAACCTTCTACACAGACCTAAGTAGCGGAACTCTGGCGTGGCATAGATCGCTCCGGCCCCTCACCGCCATGCTCCAGCGACACAACATACAATACCGCTGGCGGTCCTCCCATACACTCCTCATGCAGCAAGGCGAGACAACTCACCAAATCCACGGCCTACAGGGCGCAGCAGATCTCTTGCAGGCCTTGGGCCTGCCACAGGACTCACTCTCCCACGCGGGACTCCGAGCCCCCACCACCCCGGCTCACAACTGGGACCCAGAGAAAAGCGCCCTATTTATACCACTAAACACCACCACCTAAATAGAGCTCACACTCCAACCCCAGCCACACAACTACCTAACTATACCAAACTACTGCACCTGCCCTCTCTGGGAGACTTGTACCCCCCGGGAACCTGACGAACTCTATCCCTCAGAATGAGCTATTACCTCTCCCAAGTAACTGGGCGACCACCGTGAATTTTGCTTAATGGACACACGAGAGCCATTACAATTGCTCCCAGCCTTCCAGGGAGGCCTCCACCCTGACTTACCTAACCCGCAGTGAAGACCCCTGACCAGCCGAGGCACCGGTGACTGTTTTGGGATATCGCGCCGGCACAGCCTATATTTAGCTGAAGGCGGTATGGCCTAGAAGGGATACTTGGACTACCCGCACTGCCTGTCCATATAACTAATCCTCTCACTCTCAGACAAGAGACTCCCAGGGCCCACACGGCCATACCAAGCCGGAGCATTGGCTGTCAGTGCCACTTGCCTCCGAGCACGGTACCCATGTATACCCCCAAGGACTAGGGCCGCCCCATAACCTGCTAGAAGGGGTCAAAACACCACCGTTAATTTTAGGTTATGTTCGGTTATTTCTCTGTTACAACCTCATATCGTTGCCAGTCTAAGCAAGCGCCTACACCAGATAGACTGCCAGGGCAGGGATCCAGGGACAAAACCTGCAGCCAGTCAGACTACAGATGTTCCCATGGCGGGTTGTTACATACCCAACTAATTAGAAGCGCCATACAGACTACACCAGAATGCCTCACGTGCTAGACATACCTAGAACTTACATCGTCAATCCAGGTACTCCCCGTTAACAGGCTCGGTAGCCTGTTCAGAAATAGCTGCCTGGGTGCGTTCTAACCCAAAGACACCACTCATACCATGACATACCTGTGAAAGGCTAATGTACCACTGTTCAACGTAATTAGAAGAAACCTGTTATGCACATTGTATGTTTTCTTTAACCCATGCATCAACTCTTCGTTTTATTTTCTACAAAGACCCATTTTATGCCTAAATGAGCAGACAGCATCGCTGATAGCCAGTATGTACTGTTAAGAGAAGTTTGCCTCGCATGATTATTTACTAATTAATCTTCGTTAAAACCACACACCTCACAGTGCAGTGTCAGGTATGCTCATCCTGACTACTTAATCTAAAAAGTGTTCACAAGCATGTTTATTATATAAAAAACTGTGCAGTCTTTTCTCATGCCATATTTCTGTTTACTTTGAGTTGCCGGCATCTGCTATTGTGGCATACCTGCGTGTATGTACCTTTTATGCACATCAAAAATAAAGAACTGCCCAAAAAAAAAAAGTATAGTAAAATACCATTATAGCAGTAGGAATAGTGGCATGTTATACATTTAGGCCCCTGCCCCTCCCTTGTAAGGGGGTGAAATGTCTTTTTTACTTTTTCTCCATCATGGTGCCTATCTCCATACCACCATCCCACCTCCTTAGCTGAGGCAATTGAGATCAATAATCTTAGCTAAAATTTGGAAACTGTTGCTTTAAACCCACAACATACAAACATAATCAAATGAGCTCTCAATGCAAGTGAAACAGGCCATCCATAGACCCACGAAAAAACAACTGAAGACAGCTGCAGAAACGGCCTGGAAAAAAAGGGGGAAACCCAGTGTTTCATGATGTCCGTGTGTTCCTGACTGAGAGCAATCAATGCCTGCAAAGGATTCTCGACAAAGTATTAAAAAAAAAATATTTATGGGTGTGTTAATTTGTCCATTTACATTTGAGTCCAGGAAATAAGGGGACTGTGTATAAAAATGGTTGCAATTCTCAACGTTTCATACAATATTTTTGTTCAATCCTATGGATTAAAGCTGAAAATCTGCAGTTGACTCTCTGTTGTTTCATTTCAAATTCATTGTGGTGACATACAGAACCAAAATTATGAAAATTGTGTCAGTGTACAAATATTTCTGTACTTTCTTATAGAGTAGAACAGCAAACCAATAACAAATGTTGTAAATACAAAGTTGTATTTTGTATAATTATTCTATTGTAACTACTCTTTTTTAAATTTGGCAGCAATTAAAACAATTAGTAGTAAATAAGCTCTTTTGCTCACTTTTGTACACATTCTGTTTTTAATGCACCACATTTCCTATAGGGACACTATACTCACCAAAACAACTTTAGCTTAATCAAGCAGTTTTTTTTGTATAGGTCATGCCTCTAAAGTCTCACTACTCAATTGTTTGCCATTTAAGAGTTATATTGCTTTGT